TTTGAGGGACGTACAGCTAAAAACTTAAGAGTTTCCTTCCTGTGAGACAAGGAAAGTTGTCTATTAAGTAAGAGCAAAATGCATGTGTTTGGAGTTTGCAATCCTGGTTTGATTTATTTTCCAGACTGAACTGAACCCCCACTCGACCTCCCCACTTCTTAGCCATGTCTGAAGATGTTTGAGTGTTTTGATATGATCTCAGGACCTACTTCTTTGTGTTTTTAGAAAGGGACGTTGGGTGGAGGTGAGACCAAGGCTAGTGACCTCAAAGAAAACAGAGGTGGGGGTTAACAGCTAGTGTTTGCTTGATTGGTTCCTGGCTCTGTAGCAGAAATGTTTTCAGAACCTTGGAGAGCTCAATAAGCTCCCGACCAGGCCAGCCCTTGGTGAAGGACATGTGTGGAATCAATCTCTTAAGAGAAAAATGGAAAGGTGACAGATAAAAAGAAGGGAAATTTAAGAGAGACAGAAAAAGAGAGCAGGAGAGAGAGGGAGAGGAATAAGGGAAAGATAGCAGAATGTAGTGAATGTAGTGACCTATGGTTGGTTTGTTTTCTTTTGCTTATCCAGATTCAAGATTCCAACATAATTTGCTCCTTTACCCAAATCTGCTCACATACCACTCACAAAATTTGGTGGCAAGGAAACGGGTCTTAAAAAAGGGTTAGCTATGGTCCATAGAGACTAACCCTGATGATGCTGGAAATAGTTTTTCAGACCTCAGCTAGGCTTACCCACCTCAAATCTTTGGATTTTCCTGCAAATGAGTGGGATCTGATCATCAAAGAATTCTCAATGACCTCTTAGAAAATACAGCCCAGTTATTATTTTATTTCACATGACTAGAGTAATGTAGGAAACCAATAGCTCTATAGCTGGCAATGGCTTTTTAATTAAATTTTGCAAGGGCGCCTGCTTTTCTTAGGCAGATGGAAACTTAAGTGATCATGATAGGAAGAAAATGGATATAGGAGTAAAACTCAGTCTGATGAGTAAATAGTCCAGAGAGTCTTGCTAAGTGTAAAATACATAAATATATCAGAAAATACAATGATTATAAGACTCATTTACTATATGATATAATAAAACAAGTGCCAAAAAGGTCAGTTCTAGAGTATCTAGGAAGCAAATTATCTTTTTATTTAGAATTTGTAAAATACAAATGAATCAGTTTAGTTGGTATTATTAACTAGATGGAACATAGTTATATCAAAATGAGAATAGCATCTGTGTAGTGTGTTATAGTTTACAAAGCCCTTTTGATTTATGTCATCTCATTTATTCTATACACTATCATGAGAGCCCACTGAAAAGTTATAAAATATAAGTTAGATTTTTGTTTATGAAAAAAACTGTCTCTACTCTTGAACAAGAAGTTCTTTGTCAATGTTTTTGTCAACATTAAAATGATTCTTTATAAGTTATATAAATGGCTTATAAAATTTAGATTTTGGGTCCGGCCCGGTGGCGCACTGCTACAGTGCACCGCTTGGGAAGCGCGGCGGCGCTCCCGCCGA